GAATCTGGGTCAAAAAGCTTTGATGCTATTTGTTGGACAAAAGATTTGTTATTATTTCAAATCATACGATTTTGACTTTATATATCTAAGAAAGTACTGATGAGTTTCATAGACATCGTAACTAGCAGAATTTTGATAAATCATCAACAATTTGACTTGCAAAAAATATTTTCTTTTTATTTTAATGTCCTGAATATACACATATTTATACTTTTTCAAAAGGATTTGTTGGCAATCAAGACATAAGAATAATCTTTGAAAAGTAACCAAAATTTTTAACAATTCATTTATGATCTGGAATTTTTTCAAAACATGAATTCAAGAAAAATAATTTGATAATGATTAAGATTTGTTAGGAAAATTTTGTTTTATCAAGAAATAAAGTCACAGTTATAAAGAACAATTAAAAGAACTTTGACGAACAACTGAAAAGATTTAAAACTCAGGCAAAATTTTAAAGAAATATAGAAATGTGAAAGACTCAAGAAATCTAAATGCATTCAGTAGTCTCAATGTAGATTATCATTCAAATGGTATGTGGAATTTTGAAAACTATTTACTAGCTGTCAGTTTTTTATATTATGTCCATAAAATCTATAATATTTTGAAATAAGGAAATTCTAAATCTTTTGATATTTCAAATAGATTGAGGTCATTCAGCAAATAAAAGCAAATAAAGATTGAAAATTATCAAGTTTTTTGATAGTTTCTTTTTGTCACACTATGATAAAATTGTATGATTGAATCAATATGCGGATATCTTTGATATTTAGTAACTCCATGATATAAAACTTACATGCATAGTTTCATTTGTAGAATGTATGTTGATATGATAATAAAATCTATATTATATTTTGATAAACATTTCTATATATAAAACAAAATTTTCCATCAACATTTCATCTTTTCAGAGTTGTTTCAACTTGAATAAAAAATGCATCAAAAGCTTTGATGTGTGTGGGTTTGTTGATATACACCTTTAAAAATGACTAATGACACTTTGATCACCTTCTTCTTTTAACTTTAGTAACAAAATTGTAAATATCTATCATTTTACCTCATAAATAGAGTTGTTTTCTTGAAAAATATGTTTGATGCATCAATTTTGATGATATATCTATTCAAAAGTTACTAAGAGTCAAAGCGCCAAATATTAAAAACAACTGAAAAAGTTTGGAAAATTGTACAACCAAAATCTCTAAAGCAGATGTTATACAAGCAGATGTTAATCGTAAGAACAATGTTATACAATGATGTCTTGTTTGAAACAATTCTTTAGATCTTGTTTATAAGTTAAACATTTTGAGATGGGAACTATCATCAAATAAATATGCAAATTAGACTACGCATCCAATAGAAAGATATTTAATCACATTTTAAAATTTTGCAGCAAAACTATATCTGAATATGCTTTAAACAGAAAAAAGAGAGACAAAGAGATGAAATATAATGTTTACGTTTCAACTATTTTATCAAATGAGCAATGCGTTTTATCTCTTTCATATGACATGTTTGGATTTGTGATATGAGCACAGAGTGCAAAAGTGGCAGTATGACTTGTTTCATTTCAGTAGATATATCAATGATTTGACTTTACATGTACTATTACACCAGATGTTCATATGAAGTCACATATCACTGTTATCTTGCATTTAGCATCAGAGTTATTTCGTAAGTCATGTATACAGCACAGTTTCTCTTAATTTGTAAGCAACTTCGAAAAATGTAACTTCTTGAGAGGTTTAAGGTTGATCTCAGCAAGTATCATTTTGGATCTATCAACTTCTATACGTCGCGATAAACAAGCAAGAGTGCTCGTAGCACGGACGAAATTCGATTTAAGTTTCATGTTTGAGGTGTAAAGAACACCAGACTCTGGAACTAGAACTGTGCATGAGCTCACATGCTTGGCAGTTGAGCTAGAATAATAATCATATAAGCAATCGAGAACGTCGATTGCGCTTCTACTCTGTTCAAAGTTCTTCAACATTATGTTTAGTAAAATTCCAAAGAGCTTACCAGTTTATTCTGAACCTACAAGTTATGTAGAGTTATATAGAAAAAGAAAGCACAAGAGGCATTGTCAACCAGGCCGACAGCGCATGTGCCACTCAGTTGTCAAAAGCATCCACTTTAGCTTGAATAGATTATAAAAATTCAATGAAGATGAACTTTGAAATCTTCTTTGTCAGGTGTCGACATCGTGTGTATCATCACACTGATGCATTCACTGTGACTCACATATTCGCTTGCACAACAAAGTCAAGATCTAGTCTGACCTTCTAACATCATTGTCCAATCACAGAGTAGGGTGAACTCTTCGTTGTCAGGTGACGACATCGAGTGTATCATCACACTGATGCATTAAGTGTGACTCACATATGCTGTGCGCTTGCACAACAAAGTCAAGATTTAGTCTGACCTTGTAACGCCATTGTCCAATCACAGAGTAGGGAGTAACACGCTTTTTGAGTTATAATATTTTCGCTACCTTGATCGCTCACACTTTTCAATGTAAAATCCCATATGTTTTGGCGGTAACAACGGTGAAAACACAGATCCATAGAACGTGGCAAGTAACCAGATCATGCTGTTTCTGTCGTCTTCTGTACCAAGCGATAAACAAGCAAGCAAGAGTGTTCTTAGCACGATCAAAATTCGATAACGATTTCATGTTTGTGGTCTAAAGACCTCCAAACTGTGCATGCATTCACATGCTTGACTGCTGGGGTAGAAGAACAATCATACCAGCAGTTGATAACCTCGAGTACTGGTATCCTCTGTACACAGTTCTTCGAAATCATAGTTAGTAAATTCCCAAAAGCTTATCAGTTTTTTCTGAACCTACAAGTTATTTTCAATTATGTAGACAACTGCTCTGGGTCAAAAGTAAGAAAAAAAGTACCATGCTTATTACAGCTGACTACGCATGTGCCACTCAGCTGTCAGAACACGTCCACTTGCTCGAATAGATCAAACATCCCAGATAAATTGATTGATAAAGAGGAAATTTGTAATTGACTTTGTCAATGTGACGTCATCGAATATATCATCACACTGAGGCATTCACCCACGTTTCCTCTTCGCTTGCACAACAAAGTCAAGATCTTCTCTGAGATTCTGACACCGTGTTCCAATCACAGAGTATGAAGGAACACGATTTTTGTGTTCGACTGTTGTCATCACCTTGATCGCTCACACGATTCAAGGTAATGACATCAATTCAATTATGATGATGTATCTACATAAAAGATACCAAGAGTCAAAGCGCCAAATATTAAAAACAACTGAAAAAGCTGAAAAATTCGTACAATCATAATCTCTAAAGCAGATAAAATATGGTAAGAACAATGGGATACTTCCACTCTTAATTAATACTGTCTTGTTTGAAACAATTATTTAGATCGTTTTTATGAGTTAAACATTTTGAGATGGGAACTATCATCAAATAAATATGCAAATTAGACTACGCATCCAATAGAAAGGTATATTAATCACAAATTTTAAATATTGCAGCAAAATTATATCTGAATATGCTTCAAACAGAAAAAAGAGAGACAAAGAGATGAAATAAAATGCTTACGTTTCAACTATTTTATCAAATGAGCAATGCGTTTTATCTCTTTCATATGACATGTTTGGATTTGTGATATGAGCACACGAGTGCAAAAGTGGCAGTATGACTTGTTTCATTTCAGTAAATATATCAATTACTTGACTTTACATGTACGATTACACCAGATCTTCATCTGAAGACATGTATCACTGTTATCTAGCATTTGGCATCAGAATTATTTTTTAAGTCATGTATACAGCACAGTTTCTCTTTATTTGCAAGCAACTTCAAAAAATGTAACTTCTTTAGAGGTTTAACGTTGAGCTCAGCAAGTTACTGGTTCATGCTGGTTCTATCAACTTGTATACGTCACGATAAACAAGCAAGAGTGATCGTAGCACGGACGAAATTCGATTTCAGTTTCATGTTTGAGGCCTAAAGAACACCAGACTCTGGAACTAGAGCTGTGCACTAACCTCGAGTAATGGTACACAGTATCCTCTGTACCCAGTTCTTCGATATCATAGTTAGTCAATTCCCAAAAAGCTTATCAGTTTTGTATGAACCTACTGTTCTGAGTCAAAAGTAAAAAAAACGTAACATACTTATTACAGCTGACTACGCATGTGTCACTCAGCTGTCAGAACACGTCCACTTGCTCGAATAGATCAAACATCCCAGATGAATGGATTAATAAAGAAGAAATTTGTAATTGAATTTGTCAATGTGACGTCATTGAGTACATCATCACACTGAGGCATTCACCCACGTTTCCTCTCCGCTTGCACAACAAAGTCAAGATTACTCTGAGATTCTAACACCATGTTCCAATCACAGACTATGAAGGAACACGATTTTTGTGTTCGACTGTTGTCATCACCTTGATCGCTCACACGATTCAATGACAAGATCTGATTGAAGAGGATGCATGCGTTTTCCCCAAGCTAGCCATCGTAGTGTCTGTCTTCCCGTTGGTCTTCATGCAGCTAGATTCGCAGTCTCCCAGTACAAGTGTACATCCTGTTTTTGCACAACTCAGAGCTCGTCACATCTGAGAAATCTGCTACATCATGCATTCTATGACATTTTGCTTTCACATCGCGCGATCTTTGCTAAGAACTTGATTTCAGATACTCGCTGGTTCGCTCGTCAGACGCAAGGTCCGCTGCCCGCTGCTGCGCTCATCGACGACGACGTTGTTGCGTTCAAAGAGAGGCAGAGCAGAAGAAGAGAGGCCGTGCAAGAGCTCCGACATCTTTGATTTTCTTCTTCCCAGCCAGCGTCGGAAGGCACACGAGGTACTTTGCACAGTTTCTCTTCATTTGCAAGCAACTTCAAAAAATGTAACTTCTTTAGAGGTTTAACGTTGAGCTCAGCAAGTTCCTGGTTCATGCTGGTTCTATCAACTTGTATACGTCACGATAAACAAGCAAGAGTGATCGTAGCACGGACGAAATTCGATTTCAGTTTCATGTTTGAGGCCTAAAGAACACCAGAATCTGGAACTAGAGCTGTGCACTAACCTCGAGTAATGGTACACAGTATCCTCTGTACCCAGTTCTTCGATATCATAGTTAGTCAATTCCCAAAAAGCTTATCAGTTTTGTATGAACCTACTGTTCTGAGTCAAAAGTAAGAAAAAACGTAACATCCTTATTACAGCTGACTACGCATGTGCTACTCTTCTGGCAGAATACGTCCACTTGCTCGAATAGATCAAACATCCCAGATAAATGGAATATTAAAGAAGGAAATTGTAATTTAATTTGTCAATGTGACGTCATCCAGTATATCATCACACTGAGGCATTCACCCACGTTTCCTCTCCGCTTGCACAACAAAGTCAAGATCTACTCTGAGATTCTAACACCATGTTCCAATCACAGAGTTTTGGAACACGATATTTGTGTTCGACTGTTGTCATCACCTTGATCGCTCACACGATTCAATGACAAGATCTGAATTGAAGAGGATGCGTGCTTTTTTCCCAAGCTAGCCATCGTAGTGTCTGTCTTCCCGTTGGTCTTCATGCAGCTAGATTCGCAGTCTCCCAGTACAAGTGTACATCCTGTTTTTGCACAACTCAGAGTTCGTCACATCTGAGAAATCTGCTATATCATGCATTCTATGACATTTTGCTTTCACACCGCGCGATCTTTGCTAAGAACTTGATTTCAGATACTCGCTGGTTCGCTCGTCAGAAGCAAGGTCGCTGCCCGCTGCTGCGCTCCAGTCGACGACGACGTTGCTGCGTTCAAAGAGAGGCAGAGCAGAAGAAGAGAGGCCGTGCAAGAGCTCCGACATCTTTGATTTTCTTCTTCCCCGCCAGCGTCAGAAGGCACACGAGGTACTTCGCATCCTTCACTCCGCACAGCGGCAGCGCTCGCTCTGGATAGGGAGAAGAAGGAAGAGAGGGAGAGAAGAGACCTGACTTGACCCAAGCGGAGGACGGAGAGGGCTATCTCTTGTTCACTCAGTTCGGTCACCAGTGCACATCAAACCTCTTTCTCCCAGAGTGGTTCCCGATAGACCTGAAGTCTTTTTTGCCACACGGTCCACGATTTAGATTGTAACCAGAATCCTGGTCTTCTGTGTTAATTTTGATTCCCATCGCTTGTCCCGAGCTCAACTAGACTGCTGCTTTCACTTTGCACAATTTACCTGCGTTCGTGGTGATTGCTCATGATCCTTGTATCGGAAGATCTGGAAGTGATATTTGTTTTGCTATTTGTGGACAGTGCAAGAAGTCTCATGCCCAGCAGACACTACGACGGGAAGATAAGTTTTCTTCGGGAGAGCCGGCTTTCGGATCGAGGAGAGTGCTTCCTGTAGGCCCGGTTACATTTCGCTCGCGCATGCCAAGCAGCAAACGTTTCTTAATCTCTGAGAGTGGAGGAGAGAAAGGAAGGTGCAGGTGCGTCCATCTTCAGTCACGCTGCTGAACTGGCGACACGGGAAATGGACTCCGCACACGAGGAACCGGAGCTTCCCTCCGCCATCCAGGACCTTGTACAGCGTCTGGAAGGACAAGGCGAGCCTATAACGGAGCTTCCCAGATTAAGCAGGCCAGAATTTCGGGAGTTCTTTCCCTATGGTGAATCACCCTCGACAGTCATAGGGTGGCGAAGCCAAGTGCGTCGTCGAGTGCTGGAGGCAATCGGCAGGTGCAACACCTTTGAGATTCTGGACGTGTACAATATTTGTGGCGGATATATATCAATGTTGACGCCGAGCGAGTGGGAGGTAGTTCTCAGAGGTTTCAGGTGTAGCACCGTTCTAAAAAAGATAACCGTTGCTGGGTTATTCTATTCAGATGATGCGGATAATGAGAGCTTTTGTTTACAGCTGGGGAGAATTCTGAATTCCTCTAGCGTAACAGCGTTAGAACTGCGTGACGGATTTAGTGCCAGATGTCTCTCGAATCTCGCCTCAGGACTGCAAGGACGTTCCGATTCTAAACTCAAGTCTTTAGATTTATCGGGATGGTGGGAGAACTCGAGTGCGGTGAAGTATGTGGCTGACATGATCAATAGTGCTCCTCTATTAGAAACGTTGCGTTTAGGCGGACGTTTAGGCGGCTATTTGCAGGACATGGAGGACGAGACCGTTGGAACAATCCTGTCCCAGGCTTTGATCCAGAGCTTGGCTTTGAAAGAATTTACCTTAGACGACGCGGGGAAGTGGGGAGGGCGCTTGTTGCTGAAAGCATTGGCCGGAGACGATCGCAACCGATCCATTGAACGTCTTCGGCTAATCAAAATGGATGGACTCCGAGACTGTTTAAAGGAACTTCTTATTTCCAACCCATCATTGAAGACAGTGGAGCTCTTCCCATTTCTCATGGAGCCTGAGCAAGCGCACCAGCTCGGCGAAGCCATACGTGACAATGCCATAGCGACAACTATACTTGTTAGGTTTCGTGGTGAAGAATGGAAGTCAATAGAAGCTCTTGCTCGTTCTGCTAGCTCCGATGTCAATGACCCCACAGTGGAGCTTGAACTCGTTACTGGGAGTGAAGATGAAGTGATGTTATCATTAAACCTATTAAGTAGGGTACTGCGAGGGGAAATCACATCTCTGAAATCTCTGAGTATATTCTTTCAATCACCGCTAGATTATAGAAAGATTATCACGTTCAGTATACCCCCTATGAATGGAAAAAGTGGAGAAACTTCAGTCCTGAAGAGACTGGAATTATCTGTCCGAAGCGAAGATCTTTCGAAGGAGCAATGGGAGGACCTGCTTCGGTGCATGCGAGGGAACCTCACTCACTTGGATTTGTCTGACTCCGAACTCGACGAGAAGGCGTTCAGGGACCTGATGGGGGTCCTGCAAGTTAACTTGGCTCTCCAGGAAATCGATGTCTCCCGAACATCATGGGCAACTGACGGAAAGGCGGCGCAGATTGAAGAGGCCCTGAAGCAGAATCAAAAGCGGGCCGTCTACATGTCTGTGTTCCGAGAAGCCAACTTAACATTTGGAGATGCAAAAGCTGGTAGACTCTTCTTATGCGGCTCTCCTAGAGCAGGTAACAGGCCCTGTACATTCTCAGTTTTTTCCTCAATGTACACCAACTAGCAATCTATAGTTTAACTTTTCTAAAATCAAAATTGACACAACAAATGCTATTTTGATCTATATATAATGATATGTGTATACAATTAGTAACGGAAAGAAAAACATCAAATGTGTGAATCATTAGTTATATAACTTCAATTGTTTTGGTGATTTTACATTTTTAAATCAATTTATCTTCACGTTAAAATAATAACATGTCATATTGTATCTCAATAATATCAATTCAAAGCATCATTAATAAAAAGTTGTGTATTTTATGCTTTTGTTTTGTATCGTGCAGGAAAAACTCAACTCCGTAAAACCCTGATGAGTATCAATCATAGCTGGCTACTCGGAAGCAGTCTATCCATTGATTGGGTAGACTGCTTCCGAGTAGCTGAACGACTCTGGAGGACCAAAGGCATCGAAGTGGAGTATTTGCAAACTATTGACAAAATGCAAATCTCAGTTTGGGATCTTGCGGGACAATCAATTTTTCGTACCCTTCAGAATGTGCTATTTCCTCAAACCAACAATTTTTGTGTTTTTCTTTTTGTGTATAGCCCTTTTTGTGACAACACATCTAAAAACAAACCAGACTCTTGTTTCAAAACCGAGTTGGAGGATTGGTTAAGCTTCATCACATCCAGTGTTAAGATCACGGGACGTGATCTTCCCCAAGTTTTTGTTGTCATTTCTCACAAAGATAAAGCCAAATACAGCTCTGTGAGTTGGACTCAGACCATAATTGAAGAACTCAACCAAAGATTCGCAAATTTTGTGGATCTACTCCCTGTTCAAATGTGTTTTCATGTGGATGCTAGGAATAAAAAACAAATTATTCCTCTCAACCGTCACATTCTTGAAAATTTTAACAAGTTGTTGAGTGAAAAATCTCCACAAGTTCCTCTATTATGTTCTCAACTCATCTCCCTCTTCGTTGCAGAAACCAAGAAGAACAGAAGTTGCCCTCTGTGGTCATATGATCAATTTCATGATTTTTGTGCTCCCTACTTGAAAAAATTCATTCCTTCTTCTTCTCGTCACTTTGAGGATGATTCGAAGATAATGGAGTCTATCATATTCTACTTGAATGAGGTTGGATCTATCATATACATTTCCAACCTTAAGTACATCATTGTAGATCCCAACTGGCTTACTAATATCTTCCTGGGTGAGCTGATAGCTCTTGGTCAAAACTTTCAAGCTCAAGAGACAGAGTTTTCTAATAGAACGTGCCCATACGGTGCAAGCAAGGACGGATTTGTGAGTGAGACTGTCTTTGTTCGGTTGATAGAAGAGTTTTTGCGAGAGCAAGCACATGGCCAGAGTGGTGTGGGCAGAGAGCAGCTTGAAAACATCCTTGTCAATTTAGATTTGTGTTTCAAGCTGGAAGATAGTTCTCAGTATTTCATTCCTTCCTTCATCCCTGAGCATGCAAGCAAGGAAGAACATGACCATCAAGAAGGGGCGCACTTGAAGTTGATGTGTTGGGAAAATACAAGAGAGAATTCACAGTTTGTTGGCATTCGGATTCAGTGCCAAGATGGGAGAACAATGTCATTGTGGTACCCCACTTTTGGCAATTTTGAGGAAATTAAAACATTTTTGGAAAACTGTACCCTGGCAGCATTGTAAATAGCCTTCGGTACATCAAAACAGAGTGAATCCGGAAGATCGCGGGGATTCTCGAGGGATCTTGTAGAATCTGGGATTTGGGGTGCCGCAGTAAGGACAGGAACCACCCTCCCTGCGAGCTCCGCAGTTAGGATCTCTACGGTGCAAGGCGCAAAACCCGCCTTCGGAGGTTGCGTCCGCGGCTGTAGGGAAACCCCCGTAATTAGGTCAACCCTTGGGCGCCTTGACCAAGTTAGGATCCCGGTGGAAAGAGCTCGACGCGCTGATTCCAACAAGCCCAAGAACGCTTGGAACGGATGAGGACTTAGGGAGTTATCGCTACTGGAAGAAACGAAGGCGTTCGCCTGTGCACAGGCGAAGTAGGGTTAGGGAAGGCGCGAAGTCCGCCTACGCACAGGCGTTCGCCTGTGCACAGGCACTTCGGCGTCGGCGGAAAATCCGCCTTGGGCCCTAGAAATGCGCCTTGTGAGGTAGAAAGTGTACGGCGCCTTCCGCGCCAGCGCAGCGCCGCGTACGTCGGAAGAGCCGCCAGAGTAATCCAATCGGTACGGACCGTGCGGACGGCACGGGTGGATGCGCTCTTGGACGGACGGAGTTGCGGCGGCGGAAGCGCCGACGGAGAGACAAGGAACGGACAGACTGGACGGAGACGGCTGACCACGGTCAACGCCTTCCGCGCCAGCGCAGCGCCGCGGACGGAATTCGCCTGCGCACAGGCGAACGCCTGTGCACAGGAGGATGAGGTTCCGCACCGGCGGAGAATCCGCCGAGGCTCCTGCCTGCGCACAGGCAGGAGTTGAATTTTTGTCCGACATGCGGACACACGCGTCAAGGCAGAGGGAGATTGGCCGAAGGGCGGTACGAACAAGTGTACCGCGCAAGGCGGAAAACTCGCCTTCGGCGCTACGCCCCCATGTCCACAGGGTGACACGCTCGCGGAGTTCAAATCCGCCAATTCGAGCGTGAGAGTTTAATCGACGACGGCGGAGCGTGAAGCCGCGCGTGAGAGCGAAGACCGTTCCAGCGTACAGCCGGCGCGGCCATCAAGTGAGACGTTCTTCACGACCAAGAGCCGACCATGACCTTCGACCGGGCGGCGGAGAACGTCCCATTCTTGAATTCGCGATTCCAATCTCTTGTGCGCGCTGCGCGCATCCATCTGCTGGCTGCGGAACATTCTCGACGTCGTCGCACAGGAGATTTCTTGTTGATTGAGGGAGAAGTGAGTGCGCGTGATTTGGAATTGAGAGCGATTAGAGTTTGCCGAGAGAGAAAGAAACGCGGGCAGTGCGGAAGTAGAATGAGCGGGCGAGCGAACCCCAGGAACGCAATGACGAGACCGAGCAGATTGCGGATGGTGCCACTTCGCCTGCCGCAGAACGGGCTGCGCGCTTTCGAGGAGCGCTTAATAGCAAGAAAGCTCGATTTCTTGCTATGGGGATGGAATTACATCTGTGCGAATATGGTGCGCGAGTGGCTAGAGCCACAGGGACCACCCTCGCGCGGATTGCGTCCGCATGTTGATCGGTGGACAGTCCAAGATTGGGCGCAGGCGTTGGGAAGATGTGCTGGCATGCCAGGGCATCTCCTTTTCGACAGCGAGAGCATCAAGGTGACCAAGCAAGAAGAGGCGCAATTTGTGGAGCTGTTCAAGACCGGGAGGTCTACCAAGAATGGGTACAGGACCCGTGATTACAAGGATCGATTTCGCTGGACTCTGTCCGCGGCGCTGATGCAATTACTGCAGCCGCACCGCGCCTGCTACATCACATTGTGGCAGGTCTCTTTTGTGGAGTGCGTCATCGAGGGAACTCCAATTCACTGGGCGAGCATCTTGCACAGGGTGATGCGACAGCACGCGTTTGAGGAGAAGGGGGGAACTCTAAACCATCTTTCTCCTTTCCTCATCAATTTTTATCGACAGCGGAATTGTTTGACAGCGGCGGAGCTTGAACATTTTCCGCCATTGTCCATCGACCATCCCGGGAAGTATGTGCGGGAGAACGAGGTCGACACTAACGCAGAGGAGTCCCCGACTTCTACCCCATCAAGACGGAGAGACGAAGGGAGACACACCCCTGCAGCGCGAGTGCCGCGGAAGCAGCGATGGAGGGAAGAGTCTGAAGAGGAGCAGCATCAAGAACCCTCTGCTCCCATTCGACCGCGGCCGCTGTGCGAGCCATACAGCCGGCCGAAGCAGAAGGCACGCAGACTGGTGTTACCAGCTGACAGTGCAGACACGGCGACGATTGCAACGGAGATAGGAAGTGCGTCGCCAGAGAGGCGAGAGGAAGCGCGGACGACCGCAGGAGCAACGGGCCACGCTGCAACCTCGTCGGGAGAGAGGCCGCCTACGGGCCAAGGGCCTCCGGAGTGACCACGTGCAATGCGGACAGATGTTCCGTTTGCGCACAGGCGAACCTCCGCGGACGGACGAGCCTCCGCGGACCGGCGAACACAAGTGGACGTGGATCTACGCTTACGCGTGGGAAGGAGCGGTCCGCCTGTGCACAGGCGCTCACCTGTGCACAGGTCGCCTGTGCACAGGACACCTCCACACGTGCCGCCTGTGCACAGGCAAGAATCACCCCCGTTCCAACGTAGGAAGGGGAAGGAGCCGGCGGAAGAACCGCCTACGAGACACCGGCCCTCGGGGCCAGACCCTCCGGCGCACCACGCGCCGCAATGTGCGCCTTCGGCGCCAGGGCCTTCGAGCCGAGGAGATACGAGCAGAGAGCGTGCGGAGGCCGCACCATCGGCGGGAAGCCCGCCGATAGATGCGCCTTCGGCGGTAGGGCCTATAGGCCAAGGAACATCGGGCGTGCGGCCCCCGGCCATGTCGCCTTCGGCGATAGATGTCCGCGGCGCTACGCCCGCGGCGGACAAGGCGCCGGCAAATGCGCCTGCGCGCGGGCCGGGCACAGCCCCCATGGACCGATCAAGGGAGCAGCAGACGGAGGAGCGGAGTGACTGTCCGCGGGATGAAATCTCGATGCGCGATGCGCAATCAAACCCCGCGCAGCCACCCTCCGCTCGACCGCCTTCGGCGGCGGACGATGGAGACAGAGAGGACGCGGGAGGCAATCAACAAGTAAGCGACGGGGATGCCGCTCGGATACATTCGCCTTCCGCCTTAGACATTTTGGCGACGAGCAGCGAGGCTGCAGCCGTGCCTTCGCAGGCAGCACACGTCGAGGACGTGCAGCCCCACTCGGGGCAGTCGCCGACGCAATCAATGGCGACTGAAATTCTCCACTCGGATGATGACGACGGAGGCTCCACGGAAGAAATGTCAGGAGCAGAAGACACCGAGGAGGAGGAGGAGGAAATTGTTGGAGCGCCGGCGGCGGCGCTCTCTGAGCAGGTGATTCCGTTGCTGCGGTACTTGGATCGCAAGGTCGATAAATACGCCGACCCACTCCAGCCGGGATCTTACATCGAGTTAGTGCGCAGGCGGACTCGCACTAAAGTCCACACCAGCAAGCTATTAGCTAGAGTGGACCAGGAGTTGAGGGACTTGAAGGAGAAGCATGAGTGCTTGTGGGGTCAGTACAAGCTTAATCAGAAATTCTACAAGCACTCCGAGAAGATGAAGGATGAAAAACTGGGCGAGCTCACCAAGGAGCAGGTGAAGGACAAGGAAGCACTCAACTCTGAGCAGGCCCAGAATCGGATTTTGTCAGAGGAGCTCGTGCGACAGACGCGGTTGTTGGAACAATGTCAGCTCGCACGGCAGGCGGATGAAGAATTAATCCGCAGGTTACAGTCAGAGTGTGGCGAATTGAGGGCGCAACGTGCTGAAGCCGAATCGCAATTAGTGATAATTGAAGAGGATCGCAGGAAGGAGGCGGATCGCACGAAGGTGGAGACGGCGAGGCGAGTCGCCCACTGTCTCAAGGGCTACGCCCACTGGGAAGTGAAGGCGCAGGAGAAACTCACACTGCGTGAGTTTGAATTGCGCGCAGCCGGGTTGTTGTCAGGCGACAGTAGGAGTCGGCGGAAGGTAGCGAAGAAGCTCGAGGCCTTTCTGTCGAAGGCACAGGATACCATGTCCGCCCTCGAGGGGGAGGTGTCCGCGGCGTTGCAGCGGTTGGGACTGCGCAGTCGAGCGGAAGAGTGGCAGGGTAGGGAGTTAGTGCGCGGCAGTCGACCGCGCAGGAGACGTAGTACAGGTTCCGCGGAGTGTAGTGTAGCGTGGTTCCGTGCAGGCGTGTAGCGTAGTGCAGTGTAGTGCTAGGTAGGACTTAGAAGGTATAAAATAGTTCCAGGCGTTTTGCCTGGGGTTCTTTCCCATCAGAAGTGCAGATCAGGAACCCATTTCCTTTGCGTGTTTGTGTCCTTGAGTTCTGTCACCACGCACGAGGAGTTACAACTTAGCGTTCCGCATTTTGTAGCTGAAGGCCTTCGGCCGAATGTTCAGAGCTAGTACATTGGTTAGAGACTTGAGTAGTTCGGAACTGCACCTGCGGGTGACTGCCGATGCTCAGAGCCAGTGACTAGTTAGATACTTGAACAGTTTCGCCCCTACACCTTCGAGTGTTTCTTTCTGATTGTACTCCTTGGGATTTTTCCCCTGAATGCCAAAGTGAAGTTTTGCTACTTCGTGTAAGCCTTGGTTGTAAATTCAGGTTACGCTGCAGCAGGTGCCTTGAGGGTAACCCCTGTAGTATTTCTGGGAATGACAAGTGCCTGAGAATTCAAACTCTTCAATAGACTGTTGTTGTGTTACTGGAATGTTTCACAGTGAGTCCTTCAGTGCAGACCTGTGTTCTCTGCGCGTTTTGTGAGTTGAGAGTGTTGTTCACCGCGTATGAGTGACTTCGATCCGAAGTAGGTAGTCCAAACCGGGTTTCCTACACTAGCAGCAAGCTAGTGGAAGCGTTGTAAAAGCCGGAGTTGGAAGTCACTGCCCGCAGCTTTGCCGAGTGTGCTCGTGAGAGACTTTCCCCCTGAAATCTTGAAGTAGAGGTCCTAACGGATCTCTGGGTTGTGTTTCTGTAGTTTCAGGTGTGTGTGTGTGTGTTACGCTGCACTGTGCGACCTCCGAGTGCGCTCCGA